GCACTTATTTATGTTAAGATTGTTCAAACGAATACTGTGGGTGATGAGTAACTATCGCATATACTTAGCTATCGATATATGCGATAACTGGCATCCTAAACAATTGTACGGCGTCGTTCCAAGCAAATTATACAATTAACCAATTAAGTCCAGCGAAAATGCAATATGCAGCGTAAATCGAATTTGATTATAGAAGTTATTATTAATGAGCAAGCCAGAAGAAATGTAAAACGTTCCGTCGATTAGTATTTGTGTGTTTCCTCCCTGGCCGTACGCACACACACTTATGCAAAAACGCTGTTATGCAATTGAGGGCTGCAATGATACATAAAATAAAATGATTAATACCTGTATATTAAAACTATTCCAAGCGTTTTAAGAGATACATTAAGAAAGCTTCCGTTACTTACAGCATCCTGTTTCAATTGTGGTGGGCTTTAAATTGCTCAAATTATAACAATCCAGACGACGTGACGACACCACGACGCGTGGCTGTATGCGGACCAGGGCTGGATAGCTATTCGATATATATTCGATAAGGCAACGATTGAAAAATGCTTGTATTACCATACAAACTACTTATTGCTCAATAATATTAGTAAAGCAACTAGCCATTGCATTCACTTATTCAATTTAATATAAAAAACCCACAATAAATAATTACCATTATTTGAAATTTGCGCGCCTAATATTTCTAATCATAGGACCATTTGCTCAGCTTGCTTGGATCGGATGCAACGTTTTTTGAAGGATTGTGCTCAGATTAAGATTTGTCATATAAGGCGCAAGTCAACATTTCTAAAATCGTATTGTCGATTCAAATTACAAAAAAATTTCAATAATTTGCTGACGAAAAACGCGATTTCAGGGCTGATAACTAAGACCGGCGTTAACTTCCAAGTCTTTTTCCAGTTCACCACAGACCAGGACTGCAATTAAAGTAGAAAATTGAAATTCATCGGAATTAATCTCCTTTCATTAAGGTACATATAAAATAAGTATGGTATTTGTATATATCACTATTAAGCTTGCGATTTTAGTGCTATGTATATAATATTAGATATAATATAGTGATGTTTAATACTGTATGTGACTGTTAACATACATAAATGTCTGTTCGAAGATTGTAAACTACAAAAATATTATATTTTATATTACATCATATATATTATATATAGATATGAAATTATATATAAGATTTCGTGTATCTAACCAACTTAAATATGCAGATATTTTTACTAAAAATATTTATTTTGACAAAATATGTAGGTTACTTGGTGGTAGCACCGCTATTTATTTAAATTTACATATTGTTATCGATATGCACTCATGCGCTCGCTGACTTTCCAGGTGAACTTCCAATTCACCACAGCCAAGAATTGCATGGCGACTGTAGGGTAAAGTAAAAATTCGCGTTTAATACGGTTCCACTGTTGTTAAGGGTTTGTTCGAAGTGAGTTGGACGCATATCTTTCGCTAAAATTAAAAATGTGAAGCACCCCCGTAATGCCCGCCACCATGCCTGCTGGTTGAATAATCAGTTTCGAATGGAAATGCAAGAGAATAATTATTTCAAATGCAATTGTTTTTAATGACAGTTGAAGTGAAAAAGTGTGACCAATAAAAACACAAGTGAATATGTTTTTTCAAACGTGTTCAATGTCGCCATCTTGCGGCACATGCACACACACTTACACAAGATGTCACACGGGCGTACGAAGAGAACTGTCAGTGTAACTGTATGCCGTAGTGTGCGTGTGTGAAGTCGTTGCGTCACTAGAAAACTTCAACGATTTGAAGAAAATTAGTGTTAGTTTAAGCAAACTAAGTGAAAATAATTCGAATTCTTAATTATAATTGAATTGTGCTTCAAATTGGATTGCGAGTTGTTCTAATTTGTGTGGATAGATACATTTTTCACATTACGTAACCGACATCAACTAGCAGGCGGGCAGCGGCATTTGCAGCACCAATTCGCAACAACTATAAATTAAAATATATATAAATAAAACTATATTTACAAGAAATCTACATCTATATCTTTGCAGAGCTCCGTGCGCTTGCTTCAATTTTGTGCGAAACGCCAATTAAAATTCAACTAAAAATGTTCGTGTCGACAGTCTCTCGCATTGCCCCCGTTGCCAGGACCGCGGTAAGTACAATATATGTTAACTCTTTCAGTGAGATAAATAGTCTTAGTGGTTGTTAATTACATAATTCTTAGCCGCATCGATTTTATTCGTGCTAACAAAAAAATATCTATGCTGCGACTGTGGTGACTTGGAATTCCAATGGAAAACACACACAGTTACATAAGTTGAAAGCGAAAAATGAGGTTATGTGTGCTTCATAGGTTCAACTTTTTAATATATAGCATTTCAATGAAATTAAAACACATGTATAAATGGTTTTTATATAATTCGATTTATTTTGGCATTAAATTAAGCGATTGAAGTTCGGTGCAGGCGTTGTATAACAAGTTATAGTAACTTTGTTACTGATAGTTGTTGAGGTTAGAACCGGTGAAAGCTTTAAAATCAATTCCCTGTAATGTACATAGATTGATATTCAATTCAGAAGATTATTTCAAAACGGCTATCACCGATAATTATTAATGCCGTCTTCTTAAATGACAACAACAACAAACGCGGCTGCCAGATGGCTAAAATCCAAATTGCTTAACGCATTGCATAACTTGGCAATCGGATGCAAAATGTCAACTCGCAATGCATACAATAACCACAACAATAACAATTTTTTTTATCTCACATGAAAGACAAACTAAACGGACATCTAATCTAATTACATAATTTAACCTTTATCAATTTTCTTATTGCAGCTCCTCGCCAACTCCAAGCAATACTTGCGACCATTGAGCAGCGCCGTCATCAGCCAGAGCCAAACTTTGGCCGCTCAGAACACAACCCCCGTAGCATTACTGCCACAGATCAGGTCATTCCAGACCTCGCCAGTCACGCGTGACATTGATTCGGCTGCCAAATTCATTGGTGCTGGTGCTGCAACAGTCGGTGTCGCTGGTTCCGGTTCGTATTGGTTCCTAATTGTTAAAGGGCTTGCGATTTGTCCGATCATATCGAATACTGCGAACGGTCTATATACTCTTCTCCAGTCAGTTACAATCTAGCATCTGGGGCACACATAACGAGTATTTGATTACTCTTAAGATTGCCCCGGGAAGGTCTGAGATTTGGTCAAAGCTCCCTTGTTGGTGACTATGTGTCTTGGAGCTTCATTTCCTAGCAGGAAACTTGTGTAATCACAAGGCGAAAGTACCAGAAATGCTGCAGCATGGCTGTCGCCGCATAACCTGCCGCCGGCTATGTTGCATTGAAAGCTTTCGTGACCAGCAATTTTAGTGCGATGTGCTTGCTGCAAACCTCTTTGAGGTGCGTAGAACTCAATTCAGACTAATCTGTGACTGACTGGACCCCATAAAATAGATGAGTATAGGCTAACTGGCAGTGGGATTCAAGTACATTTGATATATAGCTGCTCGTTAAACATGCGAGTTTCAATCGGCACCTGCCGATGTGATTTCTATATAAATATTTTCTATCTATACATTTTGTTTAATCTATTTTGTTTCTTTTCTATCTCCTATATAAATCGCTTGCTGCCTATTTTGACAATGACAACCAATACAACAGGTGCTGGTATCGGAACAGTATTCGGTTCCCTCATCATTGGTTATGCCAGAAACCCATCGTTGAAACAGCAGCTGTTCTCGTACGCCATTTTGGGTTTCGCCCTGTCTGAGGCTATGGGTCTGTTCTGTCTTATGATGGCCTTCCTGCTGCTGTTCGCCTTCTAAGCGCCGCTACTCGTCCTTCATTTTTCCGTGCAATTGTTTGTCGGTTTGTGTGTGCGTGGGCGTTTGGGGTATTTACCTATCCCGAAGGCTGGCCGCACACTAACGACAGTCAGGGGCAACGAGAAAGCAAAGTATAGAAGATACAACAATAACAAACAAACAAACAACCAACAACCAACGTTCGTTTTTCGATTATTATTGATAAATGATTGATAGCCAACAACATCCTGTACTATCTAATTATAAAATAACAACAACAACATAATATATGTAATTTTGTTTTTAAAAAACATCCGAAACTGTAGTAATCGCCTAAATCACGCAAAACAAGATCATCGCGCAGATCGAACACATTTTTGATTTAAGTTTAAGCCAAAAAGGAAGCAACAAAAAACTGCTAATAAAAAAAGAAAACATTGGAAATAACTCGAGAAAAGTGCATCGAGGTAAACATAACGAAGACACGCGATTTTAACGAAAAGTTGCGATTGAAATTGTGAACATTAAAATTAAATTTTAATTCATGCAAGCTTCAAATTCACACTGCAGCGGCAGACCCCACACTCAGGCGACTACACAAAAATCAACATGCTACGCCCTCCCCATCATGTGTGGGCTGGTTGTGCATGCTCTCCGGCTCTCTCTCCCCCAAAGGCCTTGACAACAACATCCTGTCGAGGCGGCAGGAGCAGCACGTGCAACCAACTCGCTTAGCCAATTAAAATCGTGGCTGTTGGCGAGGGCGTGGCGTGTTTGCTTTCGTGTTGTTTTCTACACATTTTGAATTATGTGGCGCGTACTGATAACGTTTCTTTAAGTTTATTGTATTTAAAGCATGTTTCTTTTTGTTAAATCATTTCTTGAATGCCACTTAATCATTGTCACATAATCGAATAAAGTGGGGTTTGTTTAATTGGCTAGAGTAACGAGAAGTATTGGTATTTGAAAGAATATGAAATAAAGGAAAACTGAATGTGTTAAGGAAAGATGATGTGGTTTTGCTATTTTGTTGACGGTCGAATTATTTCCGCACCAATTTATTACAGGAGGCATTTGTATCTACGTCTGCGTTTAAATTTTGCCGCTCGAAATACAACCCTGCCACATTGCACAATCTACCCTGTTAAGCGTGCTGGTGCGAATTATCGATTATTTTTAAATATCCAAACGAAAGTTATCGTTTATAATAAAAATCACGTTGTTGCTGAATGGATTTTGGTAAGAAGATATTGGGTAAATACGGATGGAAAGAAGGCGATGGCTTAGGAAAGAATAACAGTGGCATAGCAGTCCCATTAAAAGCTAGTCTAAAATTTGACAATGCCGGCCTGGGCGTTGATCGCGCTACAGAATTCAATGATCATTGGTGGGAGCGCTGCTTCAACGAAGCGTCATCAAATCTGAACGTCCAGGTGGAAAAGAATGGCCGGGTGAGCACAGCGCGCAAAGCTGGCCTAGAGGCTGTGGAAATTTCGACCAAAGGGTACTCAGCTCGTAAACTGAAAATAGCTAAAGATCAGCAAAAAGATTCCGACGGTGGCGCCGTTTATGATAACTTTCTAAAATCTGCGCTGCTCACACAAGACGGTGGTGAAGTGGACAACATGGAACGCATCAAGGTGGAGGACATTGCTGTTACCGAAGTTCATGTGTTGACCGATGAGCAGCTATTCCAAGCATGTGGCGGTCGGACAGCTCACAAAGGAGCACGCCATGGACTCAACTTAAACGGCAAACTGGCGCGTTTGGAGCAACAGGAGCGCGAAATGTTGGCCAAGCTTCAAGGAAAAGAGACAGTCACAGAGCCCTCTGAGAAGACAAACAAAATTAAAATGAAAAAGGATAAATGTAAAAAACCCGATGTACAACAGCCTGAGATGGATCAGGAGTTAGAACCCGCAAAGAAGTCCAAGAAGCGGAAGTCAGACATTGAGTGCACAGAGAGTGAGCCTGCAACGTTTGTCAAATCGAAGAAAAAGAAAAAAAAGCACAAGCAAGCGGAGTAGTTGATATATAGAATAAACTTTTATGTACATATGAAATGTATTTAGTTACAGTAAATCTAAACAAAGGCATTTATAAATCTAGTTTTTCATTTAAGTCATTTAATCCTGATTCACTTTCTGCCCTTTGCCTTCATGCGCCTGGATTTGCCCAACCGTTTGTTGACCGACGCGCCGGCTTTGACTCCGCGCTGACGACGTGTGGACTTCTCTGACTCAAGTCCAGCTGCCGAGGACTTAGTGTTGCGCTTGAGACCCTTCTTTTTGCCGCCGAAACCGAACTTTTTGTTGCGCAGCTTGCGTTTGTCTGCAGATTGCTTCTGCTTGGACTCCAATGCCTTAGCATCTTCAAGGAAGTCCAAATTTTTGAGTTTGCCCTTTCGGAATTTTTTCAGTTTATCGAGCATCTCCTTCTTTTCAGCCTCGCGTTGCACCTTGGTCTGCTTGGCCAGCATTTTACCCATTTTTCGTTGTTCGCGTATTTGTTTAATGCGCTCCGATTTAGCCTGTCCTTGCTGTTTGGCCATTAGATTGGCACGCACCTTTTGCATGTGCTCGTCGGACTTGGCCATTTCGGCAAAATAATCATCGGGACGACGTGTCTTAATACCCAAATCCTGCAGCCGTTTAATGCCCTCCAGCACAGCGCTTTGTGCCTGACGATGGAACAACATTTCGCGCTTAAAATCGTTCAACACGGGATCCTCTTCAGGGCGTACATAGGGTATTTTGGCATTTCCTTTAAACTGATTCGCACGCTTCTGTTCGTGCTTCTCGAGCTGCACAGCTAGCTCGGGTGCTAGAGGAGCCAAATGATTGATCATGTCCAGGCGCTCCTCCCACGGCAGCTCCAAACGTATGGCATGTGTTTTGGCCAGCAGTTTGGTCTGTAAGTATTAGCACATTTTAGTACAATAGGTCAGGCTTCATTGGATATACTTACTATATCATTTATTTTATTGGTCCGTCCGGTGAACTCAACATTGAGACCAGGTTTTAAATCGCCACGCTCGAAAGCGGCTTGTAGCTGTTGAAATTGTAGATCATAAATATTTGCCGACTTGTTTAAGTGTGCTATTGACATACCTCAGCATCGGAATTGTCATCTGAATCGAACTCTGAGCCGCTGTCTTCTAATTCAAAGTCAGACATGCTTAAAAATTATATTAAACGTCCTCTAAATAAAAACAAAACCAACACGTGCGAGCCGTGTAAATTATTATCGATAATAGCAAGATGTGCAGCACGCATATATTGTATAGCAGTTAACTTTTGTCTAGTAACCGATGTTAATATCGATAAGCAGTTTCAAGGCAACACTAAATCAAACTTGCCGCCCGAATTGCGCTGAATAAGTGTTGTCCGTATATTGCAAATAAAAGTAGCTGCTACTTTGAAATTAACCATTGTTTTTTTTTTATGTTGTTTTGTTCTGTAAATTATAATCATTTAAATTTATAATTTTTTTGACAACAGCGCGTTGTGGAATACAAACAATTGAATGAGCAACGGCAGTTTTTCCTGAATCACTGTTATTAACAGTTCCGAAAAATGTTAAGATTTGAGATGCCATTTTACTTAAGTTTAGGCGGCATATAAGTGATTGGGTGCAGTTTGTTTCTTTTGTTTATACATAATGCTTGTTAATTTAGCAAATATTTATGCTGAGCTAATGCGTAAATATGGCGATAGTCATACTATCACTTACAGTGCGCCGCCAAGTTATTTAACTCGATTAGTTGGCGCACGCGAATCAGAAAAAAAAATAGTTCTTGTCTATAAGGAGGATCGCAGTGGGAGCATTACGACAACCACGCCAGCCAAGTTGCTGGTAAAACCGGAGCGTAGGTCATCCAACACAGATTTGGATTTAACTGGTAGTCCGCTAAAAGACGATTGTATTGTGGATGCTATTGCTGATCTCTCGTTGGATCTGCAAATAGTCAATAGGAATCCTTGGAAACAGGATGAAGAATATCATCGAGGCGTGCCTGCTGATAAAGCGCGTGCCATCATCTGCACTGAATCGTTTCAGCAGGCCGACGGACAGGGCTCCGTTTGGTTTCTGTGCGATGGCAGCGACTTCGGTCACACGCTACTGCTGCAATACGAATACCATCCAACGCATTTCTCGCGAGGCATAGTCACCTATTCGGGCGTGGTGCCTGCCTATATGGTGACATCCCAGTCGCTGGTGCGAGAGCATGGCATGAGCGCAGGCGCACAACTGGAGACATACATTGAGAACAGCTATCAGATTAATCCGCACATGTCGTTACTCTGCAGCTGGTCGACGCCTGCTCCGCTGCCGTTGCTCATTAATCTGAGCGGATGCAATGTATTATTGAGTCAAGCATTTCGCGTGGGAGATTGCAGCCCACTAACGGAGGACTTTATGAACCAGATTCGCATACTGGCCTACATACGCGAGGACATCGTTAGCTGTCACAGAGATGAGCAGGCGGGTGTGCATCGAGAACCGATCTATCGTTGTGGCAGCGGCATTGATATGGACGAGCTGCGCGAATCCATTAACAAGACAATGACTGAGGTTTCGGGCTTTACGGACGTCTTTGCGGATGGCCATGCGGAATATGACATTGAGGAGGTGGTGCAGCGTGCCAAACACCGCAGCCTCATGGATCTAACCGACAAGCTGTGGGAGTTGCTCAAATGTAAGTGAATCTAAATATTTTTACTGCTTGCGTTAATCGTTTCTCTTTTCAACAGCTTGCTCTTGCTATAAGGATCTAAAAGTTGCCTTCAACATGCTCTTTCAATGCGCTGTGCGGTGCAACATTGTGGTATGAGAATTGGGGACAAAATTCTTAAAATCCAACTAATATTACTCGTATTTGCAGAACACGCCCACAAATAAAAATCGTTTGGCCGAAATCATTTCGAATTTGGCTAACAGTCGCTTGGCCATGCCCTGTCTGAGCGGTACGGAACCTTTGGAATTGCTGCTGGAGATTGGCTTGGAGAAGGTCCACAAGGACTACGAGTTTATCTTTACGGAGAGCAAAATGTGCAGTATTAGCTTATTAAAAGGTAGCAGTGAATCGGGCAATTCCGATGTCAACGATGGCTCCTCTACGAATGATCTGTCCAAGCTGCGCAAATCGCTGCATAATGCAATGAGAGGCGATGCTCCTGGTGGTGGTGGCATACGCAAGACCCTTCTACATAACACCGCTGGCAGCAAACAAACGGTCTCCAATTATCAGAATGACGATGAGTCTGGATTCAAGAACAGTAACTTCAATGAGCGGGAGAGCATGCTACAATTATCCAAGCTATTTCAAATACACTGCACGTTGGAGCATCTGTTAATGATACATGTCAATATGAATTTACCCAATGGTTAGTTCGCTTTCTGAGTAATTTATCTTAATATCAATATTTATATATGTTGTGATTATTCAGTTTACGCTGACGTCTGCACTCAGTTGTTGAACAAGCAGCCGCGTCTGGTGGAGAGCATTGATGATAATTTGAACGATGTGGTCGACATTCAGATATCTGCGCATTATGTGCGCGAGCACTTGGATGGCAAGGATCCACATACACGTCGAATAACAATGAAGTCAGAGAACAAATATAGGAAAAACACAACCACATTCTACTTTAATTTTGAAAACATTTGTCCGCCTGAGCTGGCGAAGTGCTTTCAGTGCGATGGTTAGTTGGAGCGCAAAATTAACTTAAAATTATGAATTATTTATGTATGCATTTCGTGTTATTTGATTTCAGATAAGGAGCTGGTCAAGGAGCGCACCTATCATTGCTGGCTGTACCGTAAAATTCGCACGCTAAAATAGAAACTCCAATTTTTTTTATGTATTTATTAAATGATTTAATCTGTATTTAATTTTAAATATTTGTCGCTTAACCTTACAACCTGCTTATCGCACCACAAAGGGCGCTACCCGAAATCATGTCGTCAAGAATCCAAACAAGTTTTAATCTATGCAATTGTCTTGGATTGCTCAAGGCTTGAAATCTATTTATTTCAAATGCTAATAGTAAACACAATTAGCGTTCGTTTTGCTGGGCATATTCTAAACAAAGTGCAAACATGGCGAGGAAATGAGCATATTTGCAATCAAGCGTAAAGTAATGCTATAAATCGGCCCAAACGTGTGCCCAATGGCCGGCTCATGTGCAGCTGGCGCCATGACGAACAGCCCCCAAAAATGTTACAATCCAATTAGTGCAGTGCACCAATTGTCTCCAGGTTGTCGTCGACAAATGCATAGCCCGATTGATTTTCAAGTCTCAGACGTGCGTGGAACGCGCTGCGGTTCGGACGTGTCGCGCTTTAAAACGGGAAATATACAATAATATATTTAAGACTAGAGAAAAGGATTATTTGCTGGCGCACACACACGATTACACCTTCACTAGGCTTCAACAAAGTGACGCACATCCTGCGCCAGGCATTGCTATAAATTAATAAAGCAAAAGAAAGCCTTGTTCTTTAATTGAATTTAACTATATTCTAAATGCCAATTATCGCGCACGAATAATCCAATTAACAAAATGGTGTGTATTGTGCAAGACAGTGAGGAAAAGGGGAAAACTATCTTTGGATTGTCAAAGACATTTAATATATTTAAAAAAAACTATTCTAATGAATCGATGGAGAACTTTTGTGTTTTTTTAGTTGTTGAGTTATTCTACGAAAGAAACTTTTTTGATAAGTAAATCTGAATGAATTTCTCCGACTAATTCTTATCATCTTAAAAAACAGTTTTTGGCAGATTTTTTAAGAGTAAGATGGAACAAACCAACTGAACTGAAGAAAACCAAAAGGCTCATGAAGTTCCACAAATTCGAGAAACTTTAGCCCTTTCTTGAATCTTTCAATTTTTCTTTGCCATCATGAATCCTTAAGGCTTCAACTGGTTTCCATCCTTTTCAACTATTTCTCAGGGTCTGGAGTTCTTCTTTAAGTTCGGTTATGCGTTTCTAACCATAACGCTTATTATCATGATCTGGATGTCCTTAGCGCGTGCCTCGTTGTTCAGTCGTGAGACGGAGGAGACTCGCTACCCACCGTGCACGTACAATGTCATGTGCACATGCTCCAAATCCTCTACAGATCTGGGCATTGTCCACTGTAAGAATGTGCCGTTTCCTGCACTGCCCCGCATGGTCAACCAGTCGAAGGTAGGTGTAGCTAGCTAAGTCCTTGCAGTACAGTTGAGTTAATCTCTGTAATAGGTTTTCATGCTGCACATGGAGAACACGGGTCTGCGCGAGATCGAGCCATATTTTCTACAGTCAACGGGCATGTATCGACTGAAGATTTCGGGCAATCATTTGACCGAAATACCAGATGATGCCTTCACCGGCTTGGAGCGATCCCTATGGGAGCTCATATTGCCGCAAAACGATCTAGTTGAGATACCCTCGAAGTCGTTGCGTCATCTACAAAAGCTGCGAATTCTGGATCTATCAGACAATCACATAACGACCATACATCACGATTCGTTTCGTGGCTTGGAGGAATCGCTGCAAACTTTGATTCTGGGCGAGAATTGCATTTCGATGCTCATGTCGCACAGCTTCTCGGGTCTGCTTAATCTGGAGACCTTGGATCTGAGCGGCAATAGTCTCTTTGAGATCGATCCGAATGTGTTTGTGGATGGCATGCCTAGGTTGACGCGTCTGCTGCTCACGGATAATATACTATCGGAGATACCTTATGATGCACTGGGTCCTCTCAAGAGTCTGCGCACCTTGGATATATCACACAATGTGATTTGGTCACTGAGCGGAAATGAAACCTACGAAATTAAGGCTAGTACCAAACTGAATCTGGACAATCTGCACTTGGAGTATAATCACATAGAAGTGCTGCCGCCCAACTCCTTCAAGTATTTTGATACAGTTAACCGCACCTTCTTCGATGGCAATCCCATACATACGCTTAAGGTGGGTGCTGGCCGTGGGTTAGTTATATATCTCTATCGTGGAGCCATGTTTTTTCTAGGACGACGCCTTCAAGCCCGCTCGGATACGTGAGATTTATATGCGTTATTGTGGCCTGACCAATATCTCGCCCGTGGCCTTCGATAGTCTGGTGAACAGTTTACAGATCTTAGATCTGTCGGGCAACAACTTAACCAAACTGCATCACAAGTTGTTCAACAATTTCGATGTCTTGAGGTGAGTTGGTTGTGTGGAAAAAGAAGACAAAACCACCGCTAATCCGATTGTCCGGTACCCTACAATGCGGGGCTTCGCTAAAGTGGGCTAAGTGTGTGACCTGCTTTCGAAGAACGTAACGAGAAACGATATAACAATAAGCAGCTATAATTGACGAAACCAATCCACCCGTTCTGTGCCCATTACAGGGTCATTAGCATGCGCGACAATAAGATCAAAATCCCGAAGCCGACGGAAACCTTTAATGCCATGCACTATACGCTGCTCAAGCTGGATCTGAGTGGGGATCGCAATGATCCAACCAATTTGCAAACGCTACGCAAGTAAGTGGACCCCAGCACAATTGAGTTCCTGCTCCCCACACACCCTTTACCCGAGCAAATCGTTTTTGTATTTATTTTCAAAAAGTATGACCAGAATGCGGAACATGCGCTCGCTGTCCATTTCGCGCATGGGCACCTCTTCTGTGGGTCCGGAGGACTTCAAGGACTTCGGCGTTGAGCTAGAGGACTTGCAAATAACACGCGCCAGCCTCTCAGGCATACAGTCGCATGCCTTCAAGCACGTGCGCGGTCTAAAGCGATTGGACTTCAGTGAGAACGGAATATCCAGCATTGAGAACGATGCATTCCATGAGGTGGGAGTCACTAAGGCAGCGAGTGCAATGACTTATTGAATGGTGATTTCTCCTTGCAGATTGGCCACTCGCTCATTTCGTTAAAGATGTCCCATGGCTACTCCGGCGCTGCCTTGCCAGCCGAGCCTCTACGCCATTTGACCTCTCTGCAGGAGCTGGACTTTAGCAACAATCACATTAGCAGCATGAGCGATACGAGCTTCCACTTTCTGAAGAATTTGCGTTTGCTGGAGCTGCACGACAATCGCATTGAGCAGGTGCTCAAGGGCACCTTCCAGGGCGACATACACTCCAAGCTGGAGGAGATCTCGTTGCGTTTCAATCACCTCACATCCATCTCTCAGCACACCTTCTTCGATTTGGAGGCGCTACGCAAGCTGCAATTGGATGACAATAAAATTGACAAGATTGAGCGACGCGCCTTCATGAACCTGGACGAGTTGGAGTACCTGAGTCTGCGCGGCAACAAGCTCAACAACTTGGCCGACGAGTCCTTCCAAAACCTGCCCAAGCTGGAAATACTGGATATGGCTTTCAATCAGCTGCCCAACTTCAATTTCGACTACTTCGACCAAGTGGGCACCTTATCGAATCTGAATGTTAACGTCAGCCACAATCAAATCAAGCAGCTCATGTACAACTCCTCCTGGAGCGGCCGCAACGAGCATGGTAAGAGATTGCAACGATATTTCCGTTATATTAAGTATTCTCAAGGGCTTTCATCTATAGGTGGCATGTACCACTCGAACATCAAGATTTTGGACTTGTCGCACAATAACATCTCCATCATATTTCCTGGCTACTTCCGACCCGCTGAGATCTCACTGACCCACCTGCATCTGGGCTACAATTCGCTGATGGTTGGTATTGATTGATTGATTGAGTGACTGATTGATTGATTGTTGTTTCTTCAGAATACCACCCGCGACGTCTTTGGCAATATGCCGCATCTACAGTGGCTAGATCTGAGCTACAATTGGATACACGAATTGGACTTTGATGCGTTTAAGAACACCAAACAGCTGCAGTTGGTCTACTTTGATCACAATTATTTGACTGATATACCTCAGGATATATTCAAGCCTGTTCATGGACTACGCATTGTGGACTTTTCCCACAATAAGCTGCGTGGCTTGCCTGATAATTTGTTCTACAACGGCGGCATGGAAAAGTGAGAGACTAAGACAATTGCTAAGTAACTGTTATAGTGTATATATATATATATCGATTCAGATTGGATGTCTCGCACAATATGCTACTCAAGATACCATCTTCCTCGCTGTCCAGCTTGGCTGCTTTGACGCTATGCGAGCTGCATCTATCCAACAATTTTATCTCCACCATACACAGCATGGATCTGTCCAATAAGTTTAGAGTAAGTTAAGCTTTAAGTCTGTGTAGAGGCAGATATATTCTCCAAGGTTTCGGTCTAAATTTGCTCGTGCTTATGTCTTTTAGTCCCTGCGCTACTTGGACATCTCTTACAACTATTTGCTGCGCATAGATGACGCTGTTTTCGCCACGATGCCCAAGTTAGCTGTGCTAGATCTCTCACACAATCGCGACCTTAAGGTTATGGATAAATCTTTTATGGGTCTGGAGACATCATTGATCAAGCTTGGCCTGGAGAATGTATCTTTAAGCACTGTGCCCGAGATACGCCTGAAATATCTACGTGAGTTCCGACTGGGCTACAATGAGCTGCCGTCCATACCACAGGAGCTGGCGCACAATATGAGCAATCTGCGCATGCTTGACCTATCTAACAATGACTTGACCAATGTGCCCCTTATGACGCAATCCCTGCCACATTTGCGGTGAGTGCTGCAAGAGTTTCTATTACATTTCGGAACTGATTTAAGCTTCTGCTTGCCACAGGCGACTGATGCTGTCTGGTAATCCAATTACCTCACTGAACAACAACAGCTTCGACGGCGTTAATGAGGACCTGGAAATGCTGGATATATCCAATTTCCGTTTGCACTACTTCGAGTATGGCTGCCTCGACTCGCTGCCCCACTTGCGCTCCCTCAAGCTGACCGCCTACTCGCACCTGGAGCACTTCAATATACCACATTTGCTGCGCCATCATCACAATATCCGTGAGCTGTGGATTGAGGCCCCGCAGCCATTTACGCGCATCGTGAAGAAGGGCTCGGGTCCGACGCAGGAAATGCAAACTGTGCAGCTGGGCATGCCCACAGATCTGCAGCGCGAAATGGAGGGACATCTGCCCTCCAAGCTGACCAACATTACATTTAGCGGACCTCAATTCACAAATCTGAATGAGCACATATTGCGGGTGAGTTGGCTACAGCTGCAACTTACACATTGTAGTAGATATTGTAGTCTGATGGATTTATTCTTGAAGATATATATGTATGTCAGCTGCATCTTAGCCATGTTCCTCGGCCTGTCTGTTGTT